CACGATCTCAGTTCGCACAAAGCCCGGCGGCACGGTGTTCGCCCCATCCTCACCCCCACCTATGCGACTCCAGCGAGCGAATCTATGTGTGTGTGTGTATCGTTCAACCACCGGGATGCACCTAAGCAAGCGTTATCTGTTCGTGCACGTGTTGGTTCATACCTGCGCAAACACGCGGGCCACAGTGCGTCACGGAACGCAGAAGGGACCAGTATAAATATTGTCGCTTGACTATTTAGTTTCTGACGATTAATTGAAATTTTCGCATGTTTCGTTAACCCGGCAGCACAGCACTCGTGAACCTCTGAAACGAAAGTACCAACCTGGGCTGCTCACGGACTATCGGAAAGAAGTGACACTTATTGGTGACACAATTGCACTGCGGATTTTTATGCAAAATAAGCATTGTTCGTATCGATTGCGGGATACAGTAACTAAGTAAACGTTCATTTAATTGCTTAACGATTTTGATGATAACAATAGTAATAATATTATTTATGTGATCAACGGGAGAAATTTCCTTTAATGATGAAAATTAAAATAATAAAAATTATTGATGAAATTTCCTTACAATGATAGCATATCAAAAAGAAATAAAGAAAGATGGAAGGGGATGATACGATAAAAGAAAAGATACAATAGAAAATAAGGTATATATGAGCCGTTTATTTTGAAAGTGGCATAAGTCACTTTACCGTAATAAAAAGTGGTGATTTTTTAATGTTTATAAGAAATTATTTATACTGAAAAAAATATCAGTATCCTGAGCTAACAAATACAAGTAAATCTTCTCGAAAGTTAGCATCCATATTTTAAAAAAACGTGTTAAAACGCAAACCCTTAAATATATCGACTTAAAACAAAGTGACTTATGCTACTTTCAAAATAAACGGTTCATATGTGTAAAATAAGGTTTATATATGTACAATATATAAACACTTATATACTTACAAATACTTATATACTTATATATTTTAAATATATATATTTTTTATGCCTCTTCATTGAATGTATTGTTCATATAAACACTTGGCAAAATTCTTCTGGTTACTTGGAATCACGTTCCATTTCACTCGTGCCATCTCGTTCTGATTCGCACCCCACGGCGCATTCAGCTAATAAATTTTGGTCCGGAACTATGTTATTAAAAGTCTCGTTCACGTTTTTGTAATATCTCGCGCGGAGTACATGTTGCAAGTGGTAATATCCTCGATAGTTCGTCGCCAGTTACATCCGATGCAGTGCATGTACCGAATTTAAAGTCGCGCTAGCAGGGGCGCGCAATGAAATCTATCGAAATTTAGTATTCGTTTTAGGACGGACGTTGACAAATTTCTGCCCGGGCTCGAATGGAACAGCAGCTCGTTCCTGCCGGGGACATAACTTTTCATTTGAAGCAATGCCTCTTCGAAAACGATCGCAAAGTCTTTTCAATCCGGGACATTCGTCTACCCGGCGTCGATGTGTAATTCAATTTAACCGGTGTTAAGCGGACACCTTAACGTTTTTGCCAATTCGTCGCGCACATATGGAAGCCGTAAAAATCCTTCGTTCCGCAGCACCATGGCTTCTCCCTATAAATATATCCCGATTGCACGGAACGAACTTTTGCGCACGGAATTGTAAACGCGGGAATAACGGGAACTATTCAATATCGGTTCTCCGTTTACGATAAATCAATTGTTTACCGAACACCCAACATTATCCGTTTATTGGCAAATGTGGAATATCAAAAAAGGGAAACACGAGCTTTCGAATTATCAAAATATATTGTCCATTTCATGTGGATTTTTTTTTTGTAAAACACTCGCATGCAACTTTCAGTACTCGATAAATTCGACTGAATATTGCGAAATGATAGAAAAGTAATCGAAATTAACAATGAACGATCGATTAATATCACGTAAACCTTACAATTATCAATGCGGATTCATAACAATTTCTCGTTGTATTTTGACTCGATTGAATCACAGAAAGTAATTTTCATGCAGGTTTATTTTCTATTTCGTGAATTAGTTTGCAAGCGTATAAATTTTGCACAGGAATCGACAATTTAGGGAAAAATATTTGTCGACGGACAATTTATTTAAATAGAAAGATTTGATTTAAAATTGACTTAAAAAAGAAAATTAACTTTCGTAGAGAGTTAATTTTATTCTTCGTAGACTCATTAACGCGGCATTGTTGGAAATTTAAATCAGTCTGCAGTTGCAGAGTGCAATAACTACGAAAAAAGGAAGGGGTTAATAAAGCATCGTGCCTGTTATTCTGTTTGTTCATAAATCTCGATAACAAATGGTCAGCAATGAAAAAAACAGCGAATTTTCATCGCGTCACCGTACTAGGCTTCGGGTGGAAAAAATAAATAGCCGTAAATTTTCGCTGCAGGTTAGCGAAATTATCGTCGGTGAATCGCTGCACGAATAACAAATCGTAAATTGCATGCGTTGCATGTTTAAAGATTCATTAATATTATTCACAGGATTTCTCGTTTGATTAATTAGTGAACAACTGCAATAATCAATATTTGGAATTACAAATATTTTGCCGCGATATAACTGAACATTTGGCAAAGAAAAATTAAAAATTAAATTTCTTTTTCATAGTATTTATAAGAAATTGATCTATCATGATTTTTATATAATTTATAATATAAAGACAATATAAGTACAAGTAACATAATGATTCGATTCGATTATTAATAAAATTATATAAGGATAAAAGAATATTTTCTATTCTTAATTTACAGAATTAATGTTTTGAATAATAATAATGATTTCAATTTTAATTTTATATTTGATATTATCATTTTCTTTCTTATTAATATTAATAATTTAATTCTTCGCGAGTAGATGTTTTTATATTATTGATTCGATTAGAATTTATATTATTTAATATTTTAATATTAGTTTTTATATTAGGATTATCAGAGAGAGAAAATAATGATCGAATATTTATGTTTATTTTAATTATAGGAA